AAATAGGCCGGAAGTAACTACCGCGTGCAATTTCGTCTGTGGTTTTGTGTGTGCGTGTGTGTGTGTGTGTGTGAGAGAGAGAGAGAGAGAGAGAGAGAGAGAGAGAGAGAGAGAGAGAGAGAGGTCTCGGCAAATAGGGCGGAAGTAACTAGTGCGTGCAATTTCGTCTGTGGTTTTGTGTGTGTGTGTGTGTGTGTGTGTGTGTGTGAGAGAGAGAGAGAGATCGAGAGAGAGAGGTCTCGGCAAATAGGCCGGAAGTAACTAGTGCGTGCAATTTCGTCTGTGGTTTTGTGTGTGTGTGTGTGTGTGTGTGTGTGTGTGTGTGTGAGAGAGAGAGAGAGAGAGAGGTCTCGGCAAGTAGGCCGGAAGTGACTAGTGCGGGCAATTTCGTCTGTGGTTTTGTAAGAGCGCGAGATCAGAGTGTGTGGGGGGGGGGGGGGGGGGTGTGGAGGGGAGGGAAGGTTTATGTGAGAAGGGTCGGAAAAAAATGGGGTTGTATTTGTGCGCGCAGAGATTATTTTTGAATGTGGAAATGAATAGGAACTTGCAATGCGTGAAGAGATATTGGAATCGACAACGGCTAGAATAGGGCAGTGCTGAAACAACGGCGGGCAAGGAGGCGTTATGATTAGGGTGATCTTTAGTTTCAAGGTTACGGGCATACGGGGGGAGGCGAGCGGCCATTAGCGAAACACGTCATGTGAGGAGCCAAAACTAAAGAATAAAGTTTCAATAACCCAGAAATAATCAGCAAAAGCTCGCCTTGAAAGAGTATCTGTTCCTGAAAGAATGGAAAATTTTAATTTCGTTCCCCCGTTTCTCCTTCCCGCCCCCGCCTTCCCCCCGCCCTCACACTTTGGTAGGAGATCGTCGATTTCGTCATGCTCTTCACACGATGACATCCTGGTCTGGTTCTCTTTTTCTCTCTCTCTCTCTCTCTCTCTCTCACCTGTCTCTTATACACATCTAGATGTGTATAAGAGACAGGTACTGCCCTGGTTCCGCTGAAGAGCGGTGTTTTCGTAGCTTGTCCCTCCGCCGCGGATAGTGTCTCCTGGCCGGGTGAAGGGTCACCACTGAGAAGGCTCCAGTCTATTCATGGGGAGCAGCATGTGCTGGGATATCCTCCTGTAAAGGCTCTTTGTTTTTCCTGTCATCTCTTTCCTCTCTTGGTTCTGAATGTCTATGGGTATTCGATGGGGCTTTTTAGACTGAAACCTGGCTGTGAATCCGATCAGATGCATCCTGGTTTGATCATGCCCTCATATGACCCCGTGGTTATCTTGGCCACGGTCTCTTGCTCAACCGCGTGCCCTGTGGCTTTCGAAGGCCAGACTCGCATCAGGACTCGGAATCTGTTCGCCTTCCTGGCCAGGTTCATGGTGGAAAATCTAGTACCGTCTTCCCTGGAACTCGAAACAGCCTGGTCATGAATGTGCAGTACAATACAGTCTTCATGTGTTCGGGTACGTCGGTTGAGCCTGATGACACCTGTCTTCTCCCCTCCGTTTTTCCTCTTCTGATCTCTCGGCATCCTCTCCTTGTCCTAATACTGCCCGTTTGCCGCTGTGAAAAAAAAGCTAAGTACAAAACTAACTTCTCTCCTTGTCCTAATACTGCCCCGGTTCACCGCGGTGAAAAAAAAACCCCCTGAGATCTATCGTGTGGCTGCTGCCTCATTTCCACTGACTGTGTGTCGCTGCAAGTACAATTCCCTGCCAATCTATATCGTGCACCGTGGTCGACTTGTTTCACCGAGGCGCGCTCGACTTTTGACGGCGAAAGTGCAATGGCCGTTCTTTTGCTGACGTGTCGATGTGTGGAGAATAGAGATATCACCGACTGACGTTTCTACGAGGCCAACGATATTTCCTGAATCATGTGGATGCGCGAATCTGGAGTCCTCTATCTTGTATCCTTCCTTTTACCTGTTTGCGCGTGGTTGTGGCTCTCAGCTGTTTGCTCCGCCCCCGTCCTCCCCGCTCTTTTCTTTTATGTACGGTCGTTGGGTTTTACCTACAGGCTGACGTGTGAACGGGTAAATGTCCTATCTTCTCTGTTCCTGCTCTTCCATTCTCTCTTTTTTTTTTTTTTCAGCGATTTTTGCTGTCTTCGCTTTGATCCTCTCTCGTTTACTTTCTTTCTCGCTTCCTCTCTCTCTCTCTCTCTCTCTCTGTGGCGCGCGCGCTCGCTCGCTCGATTGCTGTATGCGTCCCCTGCTCCTTTTTGTCGTTTGTGCGTCGCTTTCGCCGTCTTCCAGTGCGATCTATATTGTGCTTTAGCCGTTAATTCGGTGCAGAAGGCAATCCTTTGGACATCCCTGTTTCTTACATTTTGGCCTCTTCCCTCGCTGTTCTGCCCCTCGTCTTTTGTTTAGGTTCTCTCATCTTTCCTCCTCAGTTCTCTCCCTCTTTCCTTTCGCTTTCAATTCTCTTTCGCTGCTCCCTTTTGCACTCTCCACAAGCGAAAGTTCATAGTCTGATGTATGCTGGCTGCCTCGATCTTGTCCCCCCTCCTTCCCCCCCCCCCCCGTCCCCACTTCCTTTTTCTCTCTCTCTCGGCTCTTTCCCCCCGGCTTTCAATTGTGTGGCTTCTACCGTTCGCTGCACTTGCAATAGACTGCTCTTGAATCATGGAAGGGCGCGGAAATTGATGTGGAGCGTACTCACGTGTGCCTTTTCCGACGGAATCTGGCTGTGATTGCGATCCGATACATCGCAGAAAATATGACGTTTGTTCTTCTTTCAATCACGCGTTTAGCAGCGTAGAGGCTCTCTGCTAATTCAGAGTCTTTTCGAGCGTGTCAGCGCTTCTCTCTCTTTCTCTTTCTCTTCTGTTTTCTTCTTCCTTCTCTTCTCTTGTTTTTTGGCTCGGTTTCCTCTTGTCTTGTTTGTCCTTTCCCTGTTCTCCCTCCTTTTGCTGTCTTCGAAGCGACCGACCGGTATTTGAAGCGACTGACCGGCCGGTCGACCGATAGGGGGCGGCCAACGGACCCAAGCGCAATTTGCTGCAGAGGGTGTTTGTTTTCCGAACCCTTCGTTGGCATTGCGCTGCACCCMCCCCCCMCCCCCMCCCCCCACTGGCGCATGCTCTTCTCCCCGCCTTGTCCCTTCCCCCTTTCCCGCCTCCCCCAACATCCCCCCTTCCACCCCCTCGTGTCCCGGCCCTCGTGTCCCGGCCCTCTTGTCCCGGGTCTCCCTCCTCACTTCCGCTTTCCCCTTCTTCCCTCTCGACGTGTATGTTCCTTCTTCCGCTGTCGTTCCAACGGCTTTCGTGTTTGCCAGCATTGCGCAGTTCGAAGACTGGTTCAGTGAGATCGACACATGGAACCAGCAGAGAGAGTGTAGTCGGCCCAGATGAATGGGTGCAAATTTTCTCTTATCCATCAATAACGCTTTCCAAATCATATTGTGAAAAAAAAAAGAAAAGAAAAATCCCTGTAGTTTCTGCGAAAATGGTGTCAACTTGTCCTTGAGCGAGCTGGCACCCTTACATCGTGTATTCTCCGCTCGCTGCCCTACTCTCCTCCCTTTCTCTCTTACCATCCCTGTTACTATCGAAGAAACCGATTAATACTGAACTGGCGATAGAAAGATATGCTCTGTCTTTAATTTGTGGCTTCGCTTCGCTCTTCTCTCCTCTTCCCATCTCTCTCTCTCTCTCTCTCTCTCTCTCTCTCTCTCTCTCTCTCTCTCTCTCTCTCTCTCTCTCTCTCTCTCTCTCTCCTTCTTCATGTCGCTGTGTGATTTGGCTCGAGCTTTGATCTGGTTCTCTGAGTACTGTTGTAATGCTCTTCTTTTCTGCCATGATTGACATGTCTGGCCTTATGGCATCTATTTCCGTCCTCTTTCGATGAACAGGATGCGACGTCGTTTGAGCTGTCTTGAGGGCAACTTTCGGGTCAGACGTGGATATAGTAACCCCTCGCTATGTTCGGGGGACGGAAGAACGATCGTGGTCACAGACAACAGATCGAGAACGATTCGATATGACTACTTTTTCCAGTGTCTCAGATTTGGTACACACCTACCTTCCTCGTAGCCCTCCCCAGGGGCGGGGCACGGGGGCAGGGGTGGAAAAAGGGAAAACGGGAGGGGGGAGGACAAGGGAGAGGGTGGAGTTAGACAACACATCGAACACGATTCGTTTGACTGCTTGCCATTCCCTCGTCTGTTACATAACATTCCGTGACTTTGGGCCTTTGTTAGACACCACTACCCTGCGCTCGAGAAGCGACTTGGGCCTTGTTAGACACCACTGCGCTACGGTGGAGAAGCGACTTTGGGCCTTGTTTTTTTTCGACACCACTACGATGCGCTCCAGACGCGACTTGGGCCTTGTTAGACACCACTACGCTGCGCTCAAGAAGCGACTTGGGCCTTGTTACACACCACTACGCTGCGCGCTACGGTGGAGAAGCGACTTTGGGCCGTGTTTTTTTTCGACACCACTACGATGCGCTCCAGACGCAACTTGGGCCTTGTTAGACATCACTACGCTGCGCTAAAGAAGCGACTTGGGCCTATGCTATGCTTGAGAAGCGACTTT